AGCTATCATTGATCAGAAACATTTTAGATTGGATATTTTCTAGACTAAAACAGTGAAACTACGGAGAACAAACCAGTTCTACAATTCAGCATACTAGATCAACTGATAAGTTTCTGTTTTTAATTTAGTGGCATTAGAGAATTTATGACAAAAATTTATTTTGTACACAAAAAACTTGAGAAAAAAGATAAATAAAAAATCGAATGATATTTGTTTGAATGTTCGCAAAATAATTAATTATGATTTTCTTAAAGTTTTTATTCATTTGAGAGACTTTTCTCTTCAATATTTCAAAATTCTTTCACCGATTGTTTATCAATAGTTTTAACTGTTAATATACAAACTGATACCGTTTAGTTATACTGAAAACAAACAGGTGAATAGATCACGAGAATAGTTTATCGTAATTTCGAATAAGAATTGATGAGACATACAGTGAATACCAAAATTGATCACCCACCTTCATGTCCAATTTTTCTTGACAATTGGAAATGCTAAAATGAATTGAAACAGTGTTTTTACTAGAGAAAATTATAGCCAATAAAGATTTGAGAATATCACAGCCATGACTAAATTTCTCAAAAGAGGATTCCTAGAAAATCAAAACCATAATTTTTCAGCTTCTAGAAGTCGCGAAAAAAAGTTTTATTTAAATTACGTAGGACGATAGAGCAGACAAATCTCTATAAAATGAGGTGTTACCGAACTTTCTACAACGATTTTTGACTGAACTACATCAAATTGACGAAAGCAACAAAAGTTGATTTTAAGGCAGTCCCTATGAGAAAAACCGAAAAGTCGACTTGTGTTGCTTTCTTCAATTCGATATAGTTTAGCCAAGAATCGTTGTAAAAAGTTCAGTGATGCCTCATTTTATAGAGATTTGTCTGCTCTATCATTCTACGTAGTTCAAATAAAACGTTTTTTTACGGATTCTAGAAGCTGAAAAATTACGGTTTTGGTTTTCTAGAAGTCTTCTTTTGAGAAGTTTAGTCATGGCTTTGATATTCTCAAATCGTTATTGGCTATCGTTTTCTCTAGCAAAAACACTGTTTGAATTCATTTTAGCATTTCCAATTGCCAAGAAAAATTGGACATGAAGGTGGGTGATCAATTTTGGTACTCACTGTATTATAAACATTCATTGTTCATCTCATAAAACTCTTGTATCTTTTCAAATTCTTCATCTTTGGATATTTTAAGACACATAATAAAAAAGAAAGATTGTTTTCTTTTTTTTTTCCTTGGTGCATGCATCATTTCATAGAACTGATGAAAGTTATTTGTTTTATTTGTATGCTCTATCTATGTACAAAATTTGAATACATTCATTTGAAAAAAGAAAGATAACAACGGGTTTGGACGTATTATGTTTGTATATAGTTCGTTGTACAACAAAAAAAAACACAAAAACAACTGTTCTTTAATAAAAGGAAGAAATTTATTTGTTTTGGTTTTTTTGTTATCAGTTTGATGATGAAGCTAATGGTGCAGACATTTTTAATTTTGGTTTAGCTGTTAAACCATCGAAACGTTTATATGTATAATTTATAAAAAGCCAATCATGAACTTGAACTTCGGTGTCTTTTGCTGGTGATGCTAAAATTAAAAATAAGTTTAAATTGTTATTCGTTCTTCCTAGCTATTAAATATCATTTCTCAATGATTGCGTCGAATAGAAAACAGATACTATATAAACTATGAGAATTTCTGACTTTGAAAAAAAAACGAGTAGATGTCTCCGATAAACTTGTTTACATACGTAATTTAAGATCAACATCAGGAAAATCATCGAAATTAGATGTATCATCAATCGATTTAACACGTGGTTGATAAGCAGCTGGTCGATCTCGTATATGATCCCAATCAACACCCAAAAAAAATGGATGATTTCGAATATCATCTAATGAACCTAAACGTCGATCAGCATCCGTACAAAATCTAATGAAATTATCGAATTTAAATTTTCTTAAAACACTTCGAATCATACATACTTAAGTATAAGATCTTTGGCAACATTTGATATGGGTATTTCAGGTGGAAAAACAAGCGTTTCACGATAATTCATTACTTTACGAAAGGTTTCTTGTGGATTTTCTGCACAAAATGGTGGATAACCAATTAACATTTCATACATAATTACACCTAACGACCACCAATCGGCTTTCTAAATAAGAATAAAAATTATTGTTTATTTTTTTATTTCAAATCAATGAAAGATATCTAACATTATTATAACCATATTGTTTAAATACTTCTGGTGCAATATAATCTGGTGTACCGACTGTTGAATAAGCCTATTTGTAGAAAAATTATCTATAGAAAATAAATCGAAAACGAAAAACTACTGACTAATGCACGGCGATTTTTTTTCCATGTTTCAGCTCGTCGTTTGGAATCAGCTGGTATCGCTGCTAGAAATATTTACAAGAAAAATAAAACTAAACGAAACAATATATATAATATTTACTACTGAAATCTTGTGGTCGCATGCTTTGAATATCACGATAGAATTCTGTTCGATGAGCTTTTTTCAAACCTGTACATAGACCAAAGTCTGATAATTTTATATGACCCTAAAAAAACAATCAAAATCAAATTTTCTGTTTTATATTTTTTCTTATATTAAAATTTATATTATTTCAATTTCTTTTACAGTAAAACTTCTCTATATGAATATCTCTTTAGACTGAACGATGGATGATTATTTCTAGTCCCATCAGCAGTAATAACCTTTGTAATGTGAGCAATCGTTGTTCTTTGACTCATGTACGGAATTACAAAAAACATAATGCTATGTATGTCACGTTATAATAAGCAATCATGGGGACACATAGGAAAAGGGAATAAACTAGCCATGAACATTTAAGGGGAAAAAAACAAATATTAGTTAACTGTAACAGTGACTGTTTTGACATCTCATTATTTTTGTCTTAAGAACTAAAAATATCAAATCATATGCAACATATGTTGATTTACTTCTGATTAAAAAGAACTGTTAGTGCAATTCCTGCGGGATTAAAATGTGAAGCACGATGCAGCTACTATTGCTAATTACAGAAAGATTATTTGATTCTATCTATATTGGGATACATTTCGCCGTCCTTTTACTCAATGCTCCAAAAGTGCAATAAGAAATTAGATCATATGTTATAACGAGATGCTATTGATATGCGGTCTGTAATCAGTTATTTCTAACGTATCTGTCACGTATGTGAGAGAGAGCTCGAAATTTTCATCCATGTACTTCAACACTCCTTTTGGATCGTGTTTCACAAAAGTTGATTTAACTGATTGTTGAAAAGACAAAAAAAAATCACTTTGTGCAATGGAAACACATGATCACAACCGAACCCTTATAGGTTGCACAGAAGAAACTAGAAACGGCCTAATAATGAGTACTTTTAGTTGGCTCCGACAATGTCTATATTAGAGATATTCTATTCTATTTTAATGAGAATTTAATTTGATTTTAGTCATGATCTATATCTTTTTATCGAATGAATATCAATTTGTTCGATTATTCGTATAAACAATAGAAAATTTACTTTTGCATCAAGTAAAAGATTATCTGGCTTAATATCTCTATGAATAAACCCAAGTCTATGAATTGATTCAATAGCTTCTGCTGTTTCTGCAACATAAAATTGCGTCATATCTTCACTAAATATTTCTTTTTGAATTAATAAAGTCATCAAATCACCTTAAGAAAAAAAAACAAATTTTAAAAAATACATTATAACAGAACAACAAATGATTTTAACTAACCACCAGGAAGAAATTCCATAATTAAATATAAATTTCTAGTATCTTGAAAGGAATAAAACATTTTAACTGTCCATGTATGATCAGCTTCAACTAGTACATCTCGTTCAGCACGTACATGTGCTACTTGTTCACGTAATAGCATGTCTTCTTTACGTAAAATTTTCATTGCATATATATGTCCTGTATCACGTTTTTGCACAAGACGAACCTGAATTATATTTGAAAAAGAAAAAATAACAAACAAAAATAGATATATATTTGTATATGAGCGATAATTTACTTCTCCAAAAGCACCTCGTCCGATAACTTTTAATGGTTCAAAATCATCTGCACTCATTTTAACACGTTTTAAACGTAAATATTCAGTTTCTTTAGCTGCATGTAAATGACGTTTTTCAAGTTTCTGAAAAAAATAGAAAAAAAAAACGGATACTTTGAAATTTAAAATTAATAAAATTTACTTCTTGATCAGATAATCCTTCAGCATTCATGGTGTCTTCCAATCGACGATATCTATATATTAAAAACTGTAAATTCAGTCATCAAAACAACTCCAAGTTACCTTTCTTCTCTTTCTTCATATTGATTAATTAAATTTGCATAAAAATTCTCAATAGACATTTTAGCTTTATTAACTTTTTCCTGTGTAATAGGTGTATGTGTTGATGATGTAGCGGCCATCTGAAAACAAAACATACATATACATATTCTTCAAAATTTTATTTAAATATTTGTTTTTTTTAATTGTTTTTCAAAAAAACAAATGACAATTAATAAACGATAAACATTAAGAATAATTCACTTATTTTATACATTCCCGTTCATTATTTCGTTGGCATTCACATTCAGACAAAAGACAACACGTGAAGAAATATTTCATACAAAAAAAGGGAACGAGAAAGAAACAAGAAAAGACAGAAAATTAGCACATATAGAAATCTTGTCATAAAGAAGCTTTTCGTATTTAAGGAATGAATATATCTGGCGAAAGAACAACAGCAAAAAACATAAAGACTATACTTAGAGGTAGATTGCGCACTAGAAAAAAAAAGAAGGAAAAAGATTTTTGACCCAATGGGTTTAAAATATCTGTGAGGACATTCACTTGTTAGTTTTGTTTTGTTTTTTTTTTTTCTTTTTCATAATAACAATCATTCTAAGTAGTGGAAGGAAAATTATATCCTGAGAAAGGAAAACAAAAAAACAAAAAAACTCGAAATTTTATTATTGAATTAATTTTGGCTATGATATTGTGGACCAGCTGAAGTTGTATAATCATCAAAGAATAAATGTAAATGCTAAAGAATAAAAACCAAACTAAATTAAATCAAAGTAAAATTTAAATAAATTATTTTACTTCAAATGTCGGTCGATTATCGGGTGATGCATCCCAACAACGCAACATATAATCATAAATTTTTTCTGGACAATTTTCATGACGAGGCATTCGATAGCCACGTTGAATTTGGTCAAGAACTTCTCGATTAGCCATACCTATTAGAAAAAGATGTTAACAGTTTGTTTTTTTTTCATTGCTAATTATTATTATTTTATTTTCTAACCTGGATATGGTACTTGACCATATGTAATAAGTTCGTAGAGTAAGATACCATATGACCATACATCTGATTTAATTGTAAATTTACCATAAATAGCTGCTTCTGGAGCTGTCCATTTTATTGGAAATTTCGCTCCTAAATATTGTAAATTTTAAATAAGAATGGAATAATGATATGATACGAACCAGCTCGAGCTACATATTGATCTTCATTAATAATACGAGCTAAACCAAAATCAGCAATTTTAGCAACACCATTCTCTCCAACAAGAACATTTCGAGCAGCTAAGTCACGATGAATCTAATTCCATCGAAGTATTTTAAATAAATTCATAAGAAATATTTCTATAACTTACATAATGTTCATGTTCTAAATAAGCCATTCCAAAAGCAATCTAAACCAAACATACAAAACAAAAATGCGATCAATAATCATGATTTAACAATGTTTAATTCCAACAATAACCTTTTAGAGTCTTAGTCATAAGAATCCAATCATTTTCAAATATAGAATGAATGAAGTAACAACTTTTTTTTGTTCGATTTGACGTCATTTTGTTAGCAGTAACTTGGAAAGATTCAAACAGTCATTTTACATTTGACCTTATCTTTTGTCTCGAATGTCACTATCGATAAGAAAACAAAACTTTTAAATGATAACGATCCATGCATATTTTGTCTAAACTGTTCTTGGACTAATAACTATCATTATATTTGATAGATTGAGTGGTTTTCTTTCTTGAAATATAAAAATATGTAAAAAGTTTTGATATGTTACGAAAAATCAATTTTTTTTTCAGCAAATTTATTATTTCAAGAAAAAAAATATCATTATGACTAATATGTGGACAATCATTTCATTAGATGAGATAAATATGTGACAAATCAAATGATAAAAATATGACTTCAAAAGATCTATCATTTCGTAAAATATTTGTTTATTTCTAACATTCATTTGAAGTATTTAAATCATAAAGAAATGCTTCTTGACAAAATTGTTTAAATGACAATATTTTACCTGTGAAGCCATATCAACAAGTGCTGGTAATTTAAGTTCTCGTCCAGGTCCATCACGAAGATAATCTAATAAACTACCATTGCACATAAGTTCAGTAACAATATAAATCGGTTGATCTGGTGGTTCTGTACAAACAGCATATAATTGTACAAGTTTATCATGACGTAATTTTTTCATAATATTCGCTTCATCAACAAAGGCTTGTGTTGACATAGTACCAGCTTTCATTGTTTTTATTGCAACATCAATTTTATGATTCCATTTTCCAGCCCATACTTCACCTAAAAATGTAAAAAATTCAATCAAACAAAAAATAACTGAATAACGAAAAATAAAACGATTTTTACCAAACATTCCTTGACCAAGTTTTTTAACAAATTGAAGAGAATCTCTTGGTACTTCCCAAACATCTTTTGATATAGTTGATGTTGTTGGTTTTGGTCTCGGACATGGCCGTGTTAATTGACAACAAAGACCATCAGAATTTTCTTGAAAACAAAAAAGAAGTTTTCTTTTTATAAATTTTAATAAAATCAAAATTCTCATTTTACTTGTATAATAATCAATTAATTCTTCTAGAGAAGCAAATGTACGACGTGCAGCAATATAATAACCAATACTTGGATCAGTAAAACGAATTTTATAATGCTTTACATGTGAACCACGTTGTTCATCAAAATCACGAACAGATAAAGAGTATGGACCTAAATTAAAAAAACAATTATAAATTGAATTCAAATATAAAACTAACCAGGAGCATTTTCTGAATTTCGAACAAGAAATGTTCCACGTGGATTTATTGGGTTTAATAAAACTCGTTCAGCCTCTTTTCGAAGAACATTTTTATGAAACCATCTAGAATACAAAAATGACTTCATTTATATATAGATAAATTTTGTTCTAATTATAATTTACTCATTGACATCAAGACCACCATGTGGTGCAACGTAAAGAGCTGGAATATATCCTTTTAAACCAGTTTGATAATGTCGAGCAAGCCACCATTCAGTTTGACTAACAAAATATTTTAAAGCTTATTTAAATAAAATAACTATTTAAACAAACCTATCATCAATAATAGCTAATAAATCTCCAACACGAAATGTAAGATCTTCATCTGTACGTGCATCATAATCATATATAGCAACATAAACTTTGTCAATTCCATATGCAGATTTTTTACGAGCTTTATCATCATTGACTAATTTTTGATAAAGAAAAATTTAAGACATTTCCTTAAAACAAAAAGAAAAACTTACAACTTCCATTTTTTACAGGAGGTAAATCTATTGAACTTGTTTTCGAATCTGATTTTGGTGGATCTCGTTTTGGAAAGCAACAACCCATAATGTTTTTTTATTTTGTCTTCGTCCGAGTCATCTCATCATCTACAAACTAAACATACACCTACATATTCACATTTCGTTAGAGTTGGTCAACCCACGCAAACACTAAAAGAGGAAAGAGAACAAAAGATCATCTGTTCTCTTCACTCAAGAACATAACTCGACCAACCAAACAGCTAACTATTTTAATTCATCACCATCAAATCTGTCTTCAACTATCAAACAACCAATCAAAGTTTATGAGAAAAAAAAGAGGGCGCTTAAAATTAACTTTGACATATTATTGTATTTATATTTGCTGCATGTTACATGTAGATTCGACAATCGCGTGTGTCAAAAGAATAGTTGAATAACAATTTTCTCATCTGGAATAATGAAAAGAGCTCTCTGAAAAAAAGAATGCAGCCGTACAAATCTGAAAATTTCTTTTCGTCTTAATCATATGTCGAGATTTCGAATACCATAATAAACTGAAAATAGAAAGTTGACATGCTGAAGAATTCGATATATTAACATAGTCGACTTGAGACACAGTCAGTTCCTTTTCAAATATTTGTGTAAATGACATAGAATATTTTATTACCTGTTGATCATAAATTTTTCAAGAAGTCGTCATCTAGTTAATATGAGAAAAAAACCTGGCCACATAGGAGAAAAGTCAATTGTGATCTAGCAAATTTTTTCCTAAGTTCATCTAAGACATTTCTAGTTTGTTTCTAGTTCTCTTCTAATATGAAATAATAGAGGATAAGTACATTTCAAATCATTATATAGAATTGTCTCAAAATATGAGAAGACTAATTTAGAAATGGATATAACTGAAATGAATTTACCATTATCTATACTCGAATAGCTTTTAATAATGTATACGAACATAATATTTTGGAAAACAAACATGAAAAATCATTCGTTGGTCAACTATTGTTCGAATTATACTGTTCGAATGTGAATAGATCAAAATAAAAAAGAGTTAATTGAAATCATATATGGATACAGTTGACATGTTTTTTTGTGATGACTGTTGAGTCATGATTCTATTGACTCAATGACAATTCTCATCTCACTTTCAAACTTTTCTGATCAGATAGTTCAATAAAGAAAAATTCATCCTTAGAAAACTTCATCTATTATTCGTAATTAATTGAATTTAATTAGAATAATATGATCTTATCAAATTAAAATTGAATCAAACAACTTATTTCTTCTATTAATTATTCGCTTATCCTTCTAATGTAAAAATTCTTAGAAGATATCAATGTGATACAAAGAGTATCAATCCAAGTACGATTCTTTTTCATGTTTGTTCGATTTTTGTCTTATTTTAAAACGTCAAACATATATAAAGACAAACTTTACTTTAAAAATAAAAAAAAGAACGTAACTGTTCGTCATACACGTTTTTGAATGAGTAATTGTCAATAAAATTTTTATTTGTCGAAAGAAAAAAGACAATAAAATAATAAGTAGTTCAATATTTGTTAGACTCAACTTTTATAATTTTACTTTTCTTTTCAAATTGATAATGATCATTATTACATTTCCATACCTTTATATAATCTATGGAATAATTATTACTTTAGTTTGTTCGACAATTTCACTAGCTCAATATTATAATTCAGAAAAAATTTTACATTATCTATGTTCATTATGTGCTATTAGTGCTCTATATATGCCTATTTTTTTAAAATATCATTCACCTTGGACTGAAATCACAGATGGATTGGTTAGTATATTTTCAGCAGTAACTGGATTTTTATTTGCTCTAAAAATCCTTGAAATTGCTTTTACATATGAATGGTCAAAACAAAAACAGGTAACATTAAAACAGATTCTTATAGATTTTTCAACATTTCCAAAATATAAATATGAACCAGAACCATCGTCAGTTAAGTAAGATTTTCAAAAATGAAATTAAATGAAATTATATCTATGTAATAGTTTAGATCAAAATCGATTCATCCGACATTTTTAAATTATATAAATTATCTTATTATTGGTACTGATGATGAACAACTTTCAGCTCGTCGACAAAATATCTTAATTATGTTTCGTGGTTTATTTCAATTGGT